ACATCAGTAAAATGTACAAAATATTTGGGCACCAGTGAAGTCAGGTATTTATTCCACTGGAGTTCCCAACTGAGCTGGTCTTTTGACATAACCCTGGTAATTCTTTTATGAACTATGTGTGCAGAGCCACCGTTCTAACTTCATTACAAATAGGACTTCATTGTTTTTTGATGTGCATAGAGTCTCACATTATAAAGGTCTGCAGATTTTACAATCAAATCTTAGCATTTTGAACCAACTTTGTAAGTTTAGGGAATTCTTGTTAATCAAAGCACTTATGATATTTCTTATTTGTCTTACAGAAATGGAAGTGATCTAGGCATAGCTACCTTGAGAAACAAAAGGTACTCATAGATGGTATATATAAATGATATATATATATATGCATATTCACATATATATTTAAAGGTTTATATAACAGTTTTGTAAATTATTTTAAAAAATCTTCATAATCGACTTCATCATTCACTAATGATCAACATGACATGACTCCACGTAGAGTTGACCAGTGTAGAGAAAGTTTGCTGGTTATGACAGTACTATAAGTCATGGGCACTTGCTAACCATTCCCCATAAAACAAATAGAAAAGGAACTAAAGCCAGGTTGTGGCCAAGGAATAAGGAGAGTTAGGATATAAGGAGTATCAAGTATGCTTGCCTGACACATTTAAAGTTACTTGTAAGTTACAAGTGCCTCTCAGACATGTTAAACTAATTCTCTACTCCGTCTATGTTAGGTGCATTAAGCAGTTTGAGTAGTGGTTCATAACTAATCAAAGACAGAACTAAGGAAACAGACAAGTACTCTTATGGACTCATAAAAATCAATACATTTCACCAGAAACAGATATTTATATACATTAGGTAATTTACATATATAAACTTTATGATCTGACTTCTCAGATAACATAGCAAATTTATGTACACTCATACACATACTGTAGATATGATACAGACATACAAGATCATATATACATACACAGATGTATATTTTTTCTATTTTTAGTCACACTCATACAAAAAAAAATCATGCATACATACTGTATATTTAGATATTCAGTGGCAATAACAGATGGAGGCAAAGAATATCATTTATGGTTAAAAATTGCAAACTAAGCATAATATAAGAATTCATTTAGGTTCATCACAAAGACAGTGGGAAGAGATGATAATAACATTTATCATGAGGGAATACAACTTTATGGTTTGTGAACACCACTGTCATACGTGATAAACAGAATCTTGTGCTGATGGACGCACTGCCAAGTTCGTCAAACACGCTCCTCAATGGTAGCTCAAATGTAAGTGCAGTAATATTTACTGTGTATTGGAGAAGTGTGTTGGATGCCTGTAAGAACCCTTTTAGCCTTATAACTGTGGTATCTGACTGTCAGTTTCAGGCAGGAGAATGTAGGATGAAAGGAAAAGAAATGGCATAAGTTTCTCTTCTTTGGTATTTTATGAAGATGATGGTGCAGTTGCCTCAAAAAGTTCCCGTACCCCTTGTGATTATTCCTCATGATATGGCACCATCTCATTGTTAGCCTAGATTTTGGGTTAAACAGGTATTTATGCTGCATAAAGTATTCCAGATATCAGAATGGCAGGCAGTATTATGGTAATATGGGAATCGTTAGAACATCACCAGGGGTAAAGAATCATTTAAAGGCAACTGTACTTAGACTGAAGATTATTTTCTTTCTTTAATTCAATCATTCATTTACGTGTAGTTTAATTGCAATGATATATAAGGTGTTTACTGCCAAACTTTTCCAAAATATGCAATTATTTCTATCCACTCTTCATTTTTATTTACAAGAATTGAGACTGCCAGATAAGTGCTACATAAATGTGTATGTTATGTAGAGAATTATGTTGAACCTCAAGCAAACTGTGAAGGGGTAAGACAGAGAAGAATGTAATTGTGTGTTCATGTTTTAATATTTTCTTTCAGTGTACAGTTTCATCAAGTTGGAGTTGATGTTTTTCCGCAAAGATTAACTAGAGCTGCCGTGTGCTTTTGTGCAGGCAATGTGACAATTGAATGTGCATTTTGAAGGGAAATACTTCTTTTATCTAATGCCAACATTATTATCCCTCCATTACTCCCCCAAGTGATTACTTTTAAGGCCATTAAATACTCATTCTCACTTTCAATGGATTTCACTGTTTTGTTACTTGTGTGTTTTGTGTAATCCAAGTTGAGTATCTTATCCACTTTATATTTTGATTCTCATTTGTTCTTGACTTTATTTCAATGAACATAAAGCATCTTCTGCACATGACTGATATTTAAAACCAGATTTAAGGTTTTGTGTTTTTGGAAGGATATCCTAACTAGTTATTGCTGTATAAATAAGCTATGCTACTAAACATTATATTTTTTGTTAAGAATTATACACAGAATCTCTTTTCTTCTAGTACTAGACATAACTAGCACTCTCTCTAACATGAAATCTCATAGAATTGGAAAAGATAAAGTAAGGTATTCCATTAATACAACCCCTCCTCTAAAGCAATAGTAATAGAAATACTTAATAGAAATTATTTTTAGCAAATTTTGCCAGCTGATTAGAAAATAGTAATAATGCAAAAGCCATCCAGACCATTATCCTCGTTGATTAGATTTCAAGAGTCCCTCCCTGGATTTTTGTATAATTAGAAAATGGAGATCGGTTTCTATGAAAGAATTCATCCGCATGATTGGTGATTTCTCGTAAATTTCCAGTGCTCAGTTAAGGTCTTGAGCAGCTAAAACTAGTTCTATTCATAGTAATGCAATATAATGTATAACTAGAAGAGTTGTGCTAGTGCATTTAAATGACAGGCATTGTCAAAGCATGCACAGAAGATGAACCAAAACTGATTTTATTATAGGTCGCTGCATCACGGTAGGATTTAAGCCACGTTTTGTTTTGGTTAGTGACGTGATATGTTATGTGTTATGTCAAGTGCCACAAAATATGACAAAAAAAACACCTATTTACCTAAGCACATGATGGAAAGGATATGTATGTAAGGCTGAAATTAGTCCTGTTTTATATATAGGAGAAATATGTTGTTGATACATTGTTTTTAGATTCTATATGAAAAGTTAATGGGTCTATGTACTCATAACTATTGTGCCAATATTTGCATTATTGTTATTATTTTTATTCCAGTAGATCACTTTATTTTTCATTTTTATGGTAAATACTAACACAATGTGCCAAGAATGCTTTTGAGACATTCAGTTTATAAGGAAATAAATATGATGGCAATAAGATTTAACATGAAGATGATTTGTATTTCATTTGTTTATTTATTTATTCCAGAAAATTACTGTTGAAGTTGCTACTAGCCAGTCAGCAATCCTTATGATGAAGCTGATGGCTGTCTATTTCTATCAAAAGGAATTTAAATTATTTGCATTAATCATGTTAGAATAAAGGACCGGGGAGTCAAGGTTAAGCTTGCAATTGTAGAGAAGTATATCTGTGGCAGGGTTGAACGGTAATAAGGGGAACTTTAAGAGACTGTTGACTTATAAAATTAAGATCGAGATATCCTTTTCTGTCCGTATGGCATTCCCATAATAAATGGGGATAATGTTTCAATGCCAACTCCAGATTGATTATCAAAGATTGTACATGCACAATACAAGTATTAGTTATTTTTATATGTAGTATGAACATTGATGCAGTGAAGTGCACCACTTACAAGATGGTTTGAACTTGAGCACACAAGATAGCCTATAATTGACAAATGTGGTTAGGTGTCATTTATTTGTGTTATTATGAATATTAATCAGTATTTTATTTTTTATGTGGTTGATTAAGGAAGTAAATGTAGTTGACCTATAGTGGAGTTCCACAATCCACTGAATGTACTATTGTGTCTTTACTGCACCATCCACTTTCAGGTAGCCTTCTCTTCTCCTTTGAAATCCTCAAGAATTGTTATACCATACATGTGCTTCCCTCTTATCTGTACATACTCCCTTTTGAAAGATAGTGCTAGTAATGACAATACTCAGGACATAGTGGCTATGAACTTTTTACTTAAGGGCTGAATTCACTCACTGTTGACAGAAGGGGTCACTGGAGAAGCAAGTGGCTTGTTGAAGGAGAATGAAAAGGCAAAATATGGGAATGTAATATACACTGTAGAAGGGCTAATCCATTCCGAGAGTGTAATTGGTGTACCCTATTCCTGCCTATGCCTTAGCAGCATCTAAGAAATTCACTCCTACACTCTTGATAACAGTGTTCCATTGAAGAATCTCATCACTTGTAATACCCTAACTGTTTATTTTCTGTATATTTTTCCTTTAGCTGTATCATTAATGGACAAATGTTGGTGATAAGTGGTTTAATTAAATGCTTTATAAGCAGTCTAAAATGTTTGTTATGACTGATTGAAATGTATGTAGATGTTAAAATTCTTTTGCACATGAAATGTTATTTCACATGGTATGTATCTTTATTAACATTTCAGCATTTCTCTAAGAAGCTATAATTTTGTGCTGATAGTTTTATGCACATTTGGGTTTCATACTATCAAAGCCATAGTGATAGTGTGCATAAGGCTGTATTTTGTAGCAAATGCTTGAATTTTCAGTTTCTTGCACATTGTACAGTTCAGATATTGGGCTTCAAAAGTTTAGGTGAAATATTCCTTTTTTATATAGATGTTAAGTATAGACTGTAAATTAACATTCATTGTATGGGGCTTTGCATAGAGATAGGAATAAGGTGTGCATCACCTAACTGAAACAAAACTGAACAGCTTGGTAAATTGCCTACTCCAGTAACAGTGCAGGGGATTTGTCTGCAGCTGAGCAATAACCATTATTTTTGTAGTAACTTGCATGCAAATCCCACCCCTCTCCCTCTGGCATCGGAAGGGAAGTGTAGATGAGAAGTGCATGACTGTAGAACTTATGATTTGTTATAAGATGAAACTTAAAGAGATGTACATTTACAGAAGGGAAAGTTAGTTTAGTCCAGTACATGTTATTGATATTATATACCATGTATTAAATGAAATTGATTAGCAGAAATCCAACAGTAAGAGTGGCAATAGCGTTCATGTTTTGCAACTAGATTCTGGATTTCATAAGTTGAATTGCTAAACTTGTAGAAGGGAAACAAGTTTTCTTGAGTTCAAGATTTAGTGTCACTTCAGAAATAAAATTGGGAACTGGAACAGTTTTATAATAGGAATGTCCAATTAAAAGGTTGATAATGCTGCTTTAGTTCTTTCATCATTTAATTTACTAAAAATTTTGCATTATCCTATATCAGCCCAATATGTGAAGTGGCATGTTTTGGCCACAAAAAAGCAGAATTTAAAAAATCTGTGAAAATGTATTTTGCTTTTCAGTTAACAGGCAGTGCATAAAGTATTCCATTGGTTATATGAAATTTTTAACTTTCTTTTATTTTAGAATGAAATAATCATTAATGTCTCCTAAAGAAGAAAAAACTTTGATCCACTGTATGCTTTATTTGTTTCTTGTAACTGTGCTCTAAGGCAAGTTGCATATACCTGGGGCATTTCCATTCCAGATTCATTATTTGTTTTCTGTTTTTTTAACTGGGGCATTATATTTTAGGTAAATAATGTTAATTTGGAGAGAGAGATTTACACAGCAATAAAGGTATGTGTTTGGTAAAGGTACTCCTCGATATTTTTAGCTACTGGTGCTCAAAGAATATATTACAACAGGCTTTTTGGCTTTTGGAAGCGACTGTGGTTTTGGTTGCTTGTTCTGTGTAATTACGAGAGTATGATTTATTGATTATTCTTTTTTCTCCTTTGTTATCATAATTTTTTATGGAGATTTAATGTTACTTTTTATGTATCTTTATTTATGTATCTAGATTTTTTGGATTTTTTTTGTGGTTGTTGTGGCAGAGATGCACTTGGGAGAATGGTGAAGATTGGCCAAAAGTAATATGTGTGAATTACACATCATTCTATTGCAAATAATGATCATGGCCAACCTGTCAATTGTCAATTAATAAATTATCACCATCCAATCAGTTATCGGATATTTATCATCAATAACTTGCTGATTATCAGTTATTAATCACCAACCTGTCAGCTATCAAACAATTATCAACACAGTTCTTAAAGTTATCTCTTAATAACACATGGTTCACCTATTATCAGTCATTACTATTTGTCAAGTGCATCTCTGACATGATTAAAAAATGAGTTGTTAAATATTTTGAAATGGTTTTATGTGTTTGCCAGAATGATTTTATTCCCCCCCCCCACCCCAAAGTGTAATATTTCTTTGAATCTTGTTAAGATCTGCATAACATTTAGTTGGTCTGTTGGTAAGGTTAGTGAAACGTACTGATTATTGTAAGTAAAGTACCATGCAACGTTCGCGTGACGTTGCTTGGGATTATTTTTTTATCCTGTGGTTTGGCGAGGCTTTTGATTCTCAAATTCAGTCTTAAGTTCTCTTTTGTTATGTAATTTAAGAGGAAAGTGAAAGAAATCGCAGGCAGGTTACTTCATTGTTGTTGTCGTTGATTCTATTGTTTTCTCTTTCATATTTCTTTCTGTATTCTTTTTCTCTTTCTATCTCTTTCGTTTATTCTTTTATATCTTTCATTCTTTTTCTCTTTCACTCTTTTTCACTTATTTTCTTTCTCTTTCATTCTTTTTCTTTTATTCTTTTCATCTTTCATTCTTTTTGCTTTATTTTTTCGTCTTTCATTTGTTTTCCTTTATTCTATATTTCTTTCATTCCTTCTCTCTTTTGTGAATTCTAGGGGTAGATTGATGCCAGTCTCTTACCCCTAAAGGACAGGAAAGCTCAGAGTTTCATGTGCGCACAGGACAGGAAAAAAAAGTTCCAAAACTCAGTCGTTGAGAAGTGGGAAATGTCAGCAGGCTCCGCTACCTTTGAGACTGACTGCTGCACTATGTAAGCCAGGAGACAGAAAAATAAGGGACATTTTAACAAATTAAAACCTGTAAAAAGACATTTTGTCATGTTTTAGACAGGTTAAGTCTCATCTGTTTAGAATAATTGCTGTAATTTGTCCTTCAGGGGTTAATCGCACTAATTCTATTCTGTTATTTCCCTTTTAGTTGTCTGTGTGATAGTGATGTAACTATTATGGTATTTGCATATAAAATTTCTTTTTACTTTTTTTTTGTTTTTGTAATTCTGTAAGCAGAATCTTTACCTATGCAGTGCTAGAGGGTGACCATCAGTAATTTAGTCCATCCGATATGTATAAATTTTGTGACTGTAGGTTATGATACTAAATAAAGATACGTGTTACCTGTCTGATGCACACATGGGGTCTCTCTAGCTCTTTCCCTTTGTTGCTAGAGGAATTATGCTTTATTGCATTGAGGTAAATTGCTTCTTTTAATGCTGGCCATTTTATGCATATAAATATATATTTTAACAATTTCTTGTTAGGAATTTATTCAGCATCAGCATTTACTTCTTGTAATCTCAGAATATCTTTTCTTTTTCTTTATTTCTTT